TTTGTATTTAAAGGCTCTAAGCCACGAAAAAAAAATTAAGCTTTAGATTATCTTTGTTTACTTCTCTTTAATTTTTATTGTCTTTACCTTTTAGCAACCCTAATCCCATCTTTGTGTTCTTGAAGCTCTTGCTTCTTGAATCCTAGATCCTGGATTATTTGCTTTGTATTTGCACTTCCTTATTTCAATAAAAGTCTTTAATTTCATCTCCTCTTTCTTATGATGTCTATTTCATTGCATTTGCTTGTGTTTACATTCATGTGTAGTGAGTAGTTCCCATTAGGGTTTGAGATGGGTTAGATTAGAGGTTTCATATGCTTAATCTCTCTAGCTTATGGTCTTAATCTAGATTCTCTCTCTTTTGGATAGATCTTAAGGCTACATGACCACTACCCCTGGCTTGTAAGTCCTTAGGCGAGTCCCCACACGGAAGTGATGGCATTGCTGGAAAAGATCCACTAAGAGCTCCAATATCTCTTGCTCTAGACAATAGAGGTCTAAGGGGTTGGATGGATTAGTTTGGGCAATGATCCTATGGCCTCCAAGGTTTGATTCTCACTGGCTAACCCCCTGTTTCTGAGATCATTCCTTGGTTGATAGCCTCCACCTTGGGAAAGGGTTGGCTAGGCATTGAGAAGCCCAATATCAAGAGAAGCCTTGATACAAGGAGTTTTAAGAGCTAGAATGATTAAGTGTAGATTCCTTTGTGCAAAACCCTGTCTTGAACCCTAATTCTCTCTTATCTTGTTAAAGTCGTCACCTTTACTGTCTTTTCCGCTAACTCGACCCACAACTCGATCGAGCTCGGTGCTCTGTCCCAACTCGACTCGAGTCCTTGGTCGAGCTACTTATTTACCTGCTTTGTTTACTTTTATTGCACTGCATTTTCATTTCTTAGGTTGTTAGTGTTACTTAAAACCTATAACTGCTTGCTTGACTTTCTGGTTGTTTCATATTCTCATAGAGTGACAAGATTTCCCATTTTGGATTGATAACCTCTTATACTTCAATGACTATGATGGTTAAGAGGAATTGTTGATTGATTGTGTTTGCACCATTTCATCATTCACCCCTGTTTGCATTCCACCTCATATCTTATCATCCTTCATTTCACTTCTTATCACATACAACAAAACATCAATTTGAGCCTGAGGTGCTTGTTGCTGATACAATGGATGTACCAGAAGGGAATGGAAACCCTTTGGGACATGGACTCGGTCGAGCTAGGCAAACTCGACCGATTGGTCAAGGAGATGCTCCAAACCGCCACCAACAGAGACAAGGGATTGTTCCACCACCAGTGCAGAACCACAACTTTGAGATCAAGCTGGGAATGATCAACCTTGTCCAGAACAAGATGTTCCATGGATTGCCAAGTGAAGACCCCATTGACCACCTTGATGAGTTTGATAGGCTTTGTGATTTGACAAAGATCAATGGTGTCTCTGAAGATGCCATCAAGCTGAGACTCTTTCCTATGTCTCTAGCTGACAAAGCTCACCAATGGGAGAAGAGCTTGCCCCATGGCACAATCACTACTTGGGATGAATGCAAGAAGGCCTTTCTTGCTAAATTTTTCTCCACCGGTCGCACAGCCAAGCTTAGAGGAGAGATATCCAGCTTCATCCAGCGAAACAATGAGACATTCGCAGAGGCTTGGGAGAGGTTCAAAGGGCTACACAAGTCAGTGCCCACACCATGGATTCAACAATGAATCACTACTCTCCACTCTTTATAGAGGATGCTTGCCTAGGTATAGGGAGATGCTAGACACAGCTAGCAATGGGAACTTCCTCAACCAGGATGTAGATGATGGCTGGCAACTTGTGGAGAACATAGCTAACTCAAATGGAAGCTATGGAGAAGAGTATGATCGCACCAACCGGAGCTCGACCCACCACTCGATCGAGTCAGACGAAAAGTTGAGAAAAGATGTTAAGGCATTGAATGAGAAGTTGGATAAGCTGATCCTAGCTCAGTCCACAATGAAGAAAGTCAACTTTGTGTCTGCTGAGGAGATGGAACCAGTCCAAGAAGGGGAGGATACACAATTTGCTGAGGTGTGCTACATGAGCAATGGGCAAGGAGGTTACAACAAAGGATACTATAACTACAAGTCCAACCCTGCCATGTCATACCGCAACACTGATGTTGCTAACCCTCAGGACCAAGTATATCCTCAACAACAAGCAGCTCGATCGAGTCAAGGCCACAACATGGGTATGGTCAAAAGAACAATTACCAAGGACCACAAGGCACTTTCCCTGGACAACAAATGAATATCCCACCAGGCTTCCCCCACCAACCGCCCCAGCCTGCACCTTCACAAGAGAATGAGCTCAAGGCAATGCTAAAGCAACTACTTCAAGGGCAAGCTGATGGGGTAGTGGACACAAGCAAGAAGCTAGCTGAAATAAACTCTAAGATCGAGAACCTCAACACAAGGGTTTACTCTCTGGAGAATCATGCTTCTTCTGTTGCTGCTGCTACAAAGCAAGGACAACTACCTGGTAAAGCTATTCAGAACCCCAAGGAACAGTGCAAGGTCATCTTCACTCAAGAAGGACTTGTTGAAGAAGAGGATCAAGAAAGGGTCATTGAAGATTTTTGTTTACTGCTGAATGATGAAGAGATTGTTGCTGCTGAGGCTCCTGGAGTCCAGATTGATCAACCAGAAGTGCATGCACCTACTGTGGCCATTCACACTTCACCAGTTGAGCTCGCACGACAAGCTCGATCGGCAGCTCGATCGAGTCCAACTCTAGCTCGATCGAGTCCGACCTCTTCTGTCCGACAGCCTGTTTTGCTTGATCCTTATCAACCGGTTGCCGCTTCCTCGTCTCGCCTACTTAGTCAAGGTCACAAGGAAGTGATTCACAAGTTCAGAAGAGATCTCAGTGGGATTGGAATTGAGTTGCCTCCTATGGATAGCATGAGTGAGGCATTTGATCAAATGCAAATGGTCAAGGATGTTCTAGCCAACAGTGATAAAGTTTCAGAGGTCCTACAAGAGTCTACTCATCAGTTCAACCTGCTTACTTCACCCACCTTCCTACCAAAGGTCAAGGATCAAGGGAAATTCACTCTCCCTTGCACACTTGGGCATCTTGAGATTGACAATGCCTTAGTGGATTCTGGAGCAAGCATCAATCTGATCTCTCTCTCCATGGCAGAGAAGCTAGGCATTGCTGGAGCCTTGCAGCGCCCTACTACTTCAATCATGTTTGGAGATGCAACTTCTAAGTCTCCTCTTGGAGTGTTCAAGAACTATCACTTGAAAATTGGAGAATGCATCATCCAAACTGATCTCACTGTGATGGAAATGGAAGAAGAGAAGGATTTGCCTTGTTATTGGGAACCCCTTTCCTTAGTACAGTTGGCGCTTCAATAGACTTTCACAAGCAAGAAGTGATCCTTCACAAGGTGAATAGTTTGGTGTCATATCGCTTGCAGCCTAGAGGTTCAGACTTTTGTGCCACAATTGACAGTACCAATCTCAGTTCTAAGAGTCATGGAGCTACAAAGGTTGTGAAGGAAAGGGTTGACAAGGAACCAAGAGTTGGGAAGGATAAGGATGAGAGAGGACCAAGGATTGAGAAGCCACGTCTTGAGAGGGCTAGAGTTGAGAAACCACGATCTGATAGGCCAAGAGCTGAGCGACTTGTTCAAGCCCCTTGTGTGCTTGATGAAGAGAGCCTTCAAGCTTTGTTTGATGAGCCACTAGGAAGGGCTCTAAAAGAAGGGGAGGATGCAGCCTCTAAGGCAAGACCAGGAGATAAAAGAAAGGATCCACCAGCTCAGGCCCCTTCAGTCAAGCCATCTCAGCTCACAATGACTTTGTTCCCCACCAAGTTTGAAAATGGGAAGATTGAGTACAAGATAAGGTACAAGGGGAGATCAAGGCCATTCTCTAGAGCCAAGGCCTTGGTGACTTCAGAACAGTCCAGGGACCCAACCAAGCTAAAGGAGCTTCTGTCTCAAGTCCTCACTATCACCCTTGATGGTGGGACTAGCTCAACCAATGCCTAAGAAGGTAAAGGTCAAGCTATGGGACCTTAAACAAGCTCACTTGGGAGGAAGTCCCATGTTTATCCTTGTACATACTCTATTTATGCAATTTCTATCTATCTTTATGTTTTTAACCTTTCAATAAGTTAAGTTTAGGTGTCAAAGGAGCCAGCTCGACCACGAGCTCGATCGAGCTAGAAACCAGGGCAACTCGATCGAGTTCCACAACTCGACCAAGGTAAGTTTTTGAATTTCAAATTCATAACCGTTTTTTGGTCAAGGGAGTGGGTCCCACAAGCTGATTTTGGTCCCCCACTACCCTAATTTGATCAGAGAATCCCTAGCTTCTTGTTCCCTCTTTATTTCATCTTTTAATCTCAACCACACATCTCAAACACTCTCTTCCCCATAACTCGATCGAATCCACTTCTCTCTCTCCCACACTTAAATTTCTGAAATCATCATCTCTCTCTTCACCACAAGAAAAATCGATTTCAATCTCTCTCTTAAGTTTTTGCGATTTCTTTGTTCTTCATTGTTTTGCTTAGTTCTTAGTTTACTGCTCTTCAATTCCATCATTCAAGCAAGGTATGAACCCTAAAACCCTTATTCTCCATCTCGATTTCCTATTGCTTGTTTCCTCTTGATTTTTGATTGCATGTGTCCCTTGTGGACTTGTTCTTGAGTAATTGCTTTCATTTTCTCTCCTTATAATCTTGTTAGTTTGCCTCACCTCACCTCTGTTTTGCCATTAAACTTGTTGCATGTGCTTGAAATTGAATTTGAGTTTGGTATGGTTAAGGTTGCTATGTTTTCACTAGAATTGCTCATTGTTCCATTTACTAGTTGTTCTTGGTTCAATTTGATTGATTAGCATCCTTTCCAGCTCTTAATACTTGAATTAGGTTTGGTTATACTCTGTTTTCACCCAACTCGATCGAGTTTGTCACTCGAGTTTTTTGACTCGATCGAGCTGAGTGTCGAGTTGACCAAACCGATCATTACAACTCTAATTCTTTGTAATTTTGATGCATTTCAGGTACAATCTAAGATGTTGAGAGGTGAAGGAAGCAAGTAGCGCTTCACAAGAGAATGGGAGATGCAATAAGAGGAGCAAGGAGGATACTCAAACACAAACCAGAGGAGGACATGAGGAAGAGTCTGAGAGGGTGAGGGAAGAAAGGAGAACCAAAAGAAGGAATGATCCTTAGTAGTGAGAGTGAAGCAAGGGAGTTTGAGATTGGAGTGAAACCCAAGAGGAGAATGATGACTCCCAAGTGAAGAAGAGGGTGAGAGATCAATCAAGAGATTGAGGAGAGTGAGCATGAGGAGCAATGAGAATGTGCCCATGGAAGAGGAGGAGTCAGAGGAAGAAGAGGATGAGCTCCCCATGTACCAAGAGCACTATGATGCTCTCTTCTCCATGGACTTTCATGGAGACCAAGTACCCACATGTTGACACAATGAAGGCCCTTGGAATCTTTGAAGATGTGGAGTTGGTCCTCAAGAACATGCACTTGGCCAAGCTCTTCTCTTACCACATGGAATCCTACAAGGAGCTCACTTGCGAGTTCTAGCTTCAATGAGGTACCACATGTATGAGAGAAGATAGAGCTGATTTGGACCAAGGATTGGGATGGATCACGTTCTTGGCTAAGGGAGAGAAGAGAATGGTGACCTTTAGGCAGTTGGAGATCTTGTTTGGGTTCAACTATGGAGAGGGAACCAAGTGGAACTTCAAGGAAAAGGAACTCCAAAGGGTTTGGGCTACAATCGCTGATGGAGTGTACTCTTCCTCAAGGTCCAAGGCAGCTCAGATCAGGAGCCCAGTCTTGAGATATGTGCACAAGGCACTTGCCAACACCTTCTTTGCAAGGAAGGCAACCGGGACAATCAACGAGGGGAACTCAAGTTTCTTGACATGGGAATCAAGCCCTTCTCTCACGCACAAGCGATGGCAAGAGGATCAGGGGAGATAGATCTGACACAGGGAACTTGATGCCTTTCCTTGACCATCTCCTCACCTACAAGATCACAGCCTACAACACTAGACCAAAGAGGAAGAAGCTAAGTGTTGGAGGGCTCATCACACCTATCTTGTGTGCTGCTGGAGTGAACCCAACTGATAGAGAGCCACTGAACCAGGTTGGATGGACATCAAGTTTTGCAAGACCAACCTCCTCATTGAGCACAAGGAGTTGGATGGGAGGTTCCAATTCAAGTTCACACATCCATTGGCTGGCCCTCCAAGTTTCTCCTGCCCAACCCAGAGCTCACCACAGTTGTAAGGGGTGAGAACATTGATTTCAGACCCCCTGTGTACACATTAGTTGGGCATGAGGATGATTGCGAGAAGAGGAGCCTGAGCTCGATCTGAGTCTGAGCTGAGGGTCGAGCTGAGGATCGAGCTGAATATCAGGTCCAGGGAGCGCTGACTTGGGTGAGCCTGAGTGCTACTACTTTGAGGAGTATGAGGCTCCAAGGATGAACCCCTCTGTTGTGGCTGCCACAAGAGGATTGGACTTCTCCAAAAGTTCAACAAGTGGCAAGGGAAAGCCATTGAGAAGATGCAAAAGTCCATGGACAAGATGGTGAGCAAGATCAAGAGTTTGGAGAAGAAGGTTTCTGGTTCTTCAAGCAAGAAGAAGTCCAAGGCCCCCACATTCCCTAGGAGTAGGTCACTCCTCACCACCCAAAGGAGGCTCCCTGCCCAAGAGCCTCACAGAGCCTCTCTTTCGAGCCAAGAGAAGGAGAGACAACACGCAGAGAAGGAGGAAGAGTTCTAAGGCCAGACGCTCCAGCTCGACCACCGGACTCGATCGAGTCCAAACAGAGGAAACTCAACTCGATCGAGCTGACGGTCGAGTTGACCTGGAGGAGCCTAGTTTGAGAACCCTGGATTCGAGTACGATCAACCCAGTACCAGGACTTCCTCAGACCGCTGGACTCCCTACAACCGCTTCGAGCGAGCACAAGCTCCACCAAGGCCAAGGAAGCCACACCCACTTTGAAGATGAAGAAGAAGAGGAGGAGGAGCCACAAGCTCGATCGAGTGAGCCGAACCCAGTTGATGGAGTGCTCCTGATGGCCGTCTCCCATCTCCAGACCACGACCTAGTCTCCCAGTTCTTTGGGGGACACTGAGGTATCCAAACACCAACCCTTGTATATACCATTTCATATTTTCTTGCATTTGTTCTTGTTTTTTCTTGGTTTTGCCCTCTTGAATCTTTCACTGAATTTTTCTCACACAAGGGACTGTGTGATTTAAGTTTGGGGGAGGGTTCAAGAGATGATTTAACCTTGTTTTCTTTGTTCTTAGTTTTTCATTTATCTTTTGCATAGAAAAACCAAAAAAATCATAAAATTTTCAAAAAATCCAAAAATATTTTCATCTTTTTGCATTCATATTTGTTAGACTTGTTTAGGATTGCATTTTTCACTTGCATTGTTGATTTGACTTTGAAAACTTGTCCATCTTTTGCGATTTCTTGAGTGCCCTGTTTTTAGATTCTTTTGTGCATTAGGGTGAGATTGATTGAGCAGCAAGAACCATGTTTATCTTGATCATATCGCTGCATGCACATCTCATTCAACCATTGCTGTGATTTGATGCATTTCCCTATCTATTTGAACCATAACTTGATCTTTAATTACCAATGCTTGCATTTGATTTCAACTCATGGCTACCACATACATATCTGGACATTCTTTACCATTTTCATATCCCTTTGCTTGTCCAGATAGCTGATCTCTATCTTTGAGACAGTTACCACACCTTAAACCTAAGCCTTTTCATTTCAAACCCCTTATTATCTCTTGTGCGAATGTGAGAACCTTTCTTGGCTTTGCTTAGCATAAGGTGTTGTGTTTAAACCGGCAGGGGCAGTAGTTCTAGTTGTCTAGTTCTCTTGGGATTGTTTTCAGGCTAAGTTTGGGGGTGCCAACTCGAGCTCGATCGAGTTGGGTGTCAAAACCAGAAAAGTGGTAAAAATTGGGAAAAACCCAAAGAAAAAGAGTTTGGTTAAGTCCAGGGAGTTGGCAGTGTTTAAAAGGGTCTAGTAAAGGTTTGGGAAGTTAAAAAAGGAAAGTAAAAAGGGTTCTAAGTAGAATGAAAAGAAGGCAAAGCCTCAAGTGTCAAAAAGGAAGAAAAGTTCCCTAAGTGTTTAGAAAATCCCAAACCGCTAGATGTTACCTCAAGAAGCCTCTCCCTAGGAAGTTCTTAAAAGAAAAGTGAGCAAAGCTCCTCAGTTTCAAAGGCGAAATGCCAAAAAGGGTAGTTAGGATTTTGTTCTAAAAAGCTCTAAGTGTTGAACTCGATCGAGTTAGGATTAGGCGGCTCGAGCTGCTGTTCTTGCATCATCTTTGGTTCTAACACTTAGCCTTCTGCCAAAGCAAAGCCACTTTCTTGAGAGATCCCTGTTACTAAACCACCATACAAAAGAGACCCTCTTTGTCTCTTAACCCATAAACCCTTGAAACCAAATGAGTTGATTGATCTTGCATGTTTTTGGTTCACTGTTTTTGCTTAATGAATGTTAAAGGGATTTGCTGATTTGAATGCATTGTTTGAGTGACTGTGAAGTGGGATTGATGTTGATAAGCATGGTTAAATCTTAATGAATATCTCTCACCTTGTTGCATTCTAGAATCTCTAAGTTGGACATTTAGCAAATCGCTTTTGAGGACATGTTTTTAAGTGTTGAATCAGCTTGTTTTCAAACCTCATCTCTTTCTTGTTCTATTTGTTTGCTTGAGGGCAAGCAAAGTTCAAGTTTGGGGGTGTTGATGTACTTGCATTTTACATAGTTTTAGCACATCTTTTATGCATCTTTTGCATAGTTTTAGCTTCCATTTGCATCATATCTTGTTCCTTTTCTCTTCTTATGCATTCATGTTAGTTTTAGGTTGCATTTGCATACATATGCATGTTTGGTCCTTTGAAATAGGTCTTTTGGAGCATTCTGGAGCATATGGGACATGAGGAGCATGGAGGGACTTGGCACATGGAAGCAGCTCAACTGGACACGCAAAGGAAGAAGGGAGAAGCCATCTTGAAGACCAGCTCGACCGTCACTCGACCAACCGGTCGAGTTCCTCAACTCGACCGGCCAAGCTTCAACTCGATCGAGCTGGAAGTCAAAGTCAAACCCGAAAAATGTTGCTTCCCCCTTGACTTTCCTTTGACCCTAAACCTAATCCTCTTGTATTTAAAGGCTCTAAGCCACGAAAAAACCACCAAGCTTTAGATTATTTTGTTTTAGTTTCTTTTTTTATTGTCTTTTACTTTTTAGAATCTAATCCCATCTTTGTGTTCTTGAAGCTCTTGCTTCTTGAATCCTTAGATCCTGGATAATCTCTTTGTATTTGCACTTGCTTATTTCAATAAAAGTTGTTTAATTTCATCTCCTCTTTCTTATGATGTCTCTTTTATTGCATTTGCTTGTGTTTACATTCATGTGTAGTGAGTAGTTACCCATTAGGGTTTGAGATGGGATAGATTAGAGGTTTCATATGCTTAATCCTTCTAGCTTATGGTCTTAATCTAGATTCTCTCTCTTTTGGATAGATCTTAAGGCTACATGACCACTACCCCTGGCTTGTAAGTCCTTAGGCGATCCCCACACGAAGTGATGGCATTCGCTGGAAAAGATCCACTAAGAGCTCCAATATCTCTTGCTCTAGACAATAGAGGTCTAAGGGGTTGGATGGATTAGTTTGGGCAATGATCCTAGCCTCCAAGGTTTGATTCTCACTGGCTAACCCCCTGTTTCTGAGATCATTCCTTGGTTGATAGCCTCCACCTTGGGAAAGGGTTGGCTAGGCATTGAGAAGCCCAATATCAAGAGAAGCCTTGATACAAGGAGTTTTAAGAGCTAGATGATTAAGTGTAGATTCCTTTGATTGCAAAACCCTGTCTTGAACCCTAATTCTCTCTTATCTTGTTAAAGTCGTCACCTTTAGCTTTTTGTCTCAACTCGACCCTAAACTCGATCGAGCTGGTACTCTGTTCCCACTCGACTCGAGTCCTTGGTCGAGCTACTTCACTGCTTTTTTACTTTTATTGCACTGCATTTCATTTTTAGGTTGTTAGTGTTACTTCAAATCTATAACTGCTTGCTTGACTTTCTGGTTGTTTCATATTCTCATAGAGTGACAAGTTTCCCATTTTGGATTGATAACCTCTTATACTTCAATGACTATGATGGTTAAGAGGAATTGTTGATTGATTGTGTTTGCACCATTTCATCTTTATTCACCCTGTTTGCATTCCACCTCATATCTTATCATTTCATTTCATTCTTTCACATCCACACACAAATCCTATCATCAGGTTCCTATACGTTGGAAACTTAGCTAGTCATTGATAGTCGATTGTACTCTATCTAGATGCTATCTTATGTAACATTCCATCTATACAGATGCAAAACTTCCTAAGCAACTGTGATAAATACCTCTGTCCGTGTAAACCATCCAATCACTCATTGTGATGAATGTTTCGGTTCCACCATGCCTCCACCATTTATTGTAGAGTTGGATACCCAAAACTCCCCTGGCTTCACATTCCAGTGTGCGACCTCTAAAGATGGAAAGTATATATAGTTGATGATAAAAGTCGCATTTACAGCTTAATCTCATTTAAACCTAGGTAAAAAAATCATGAACTCTATCCACTATACTTACTCAAGATCCTTGATGGTGAATGTTACTCTTGAAGTTTGCATGTTATCACCTAGTGTAAAGGTGTGGTCTGTCACAACTTCTATTTCACCAACGCCATCTAGATAGCCTAGGAGATCTATTTCAAAGAATAGTTAGAGTGTATCTATATATTTTTTTATGAAATATGAAATGACTATTGATTACTACTTCAAGATAATAAGTTTTCACAAACATTAATAATTGCTCGGTTAGTAAAAACATACCAATTGGATAGTTGGAAGTATATACTCCATTCATTATGGACCGGAAGTTCTTGAAACTCATGTAATGGTCTGTGATGACACCCCATGACCTCTGCAGATTAGTATTACCTGTGAAGATGATGGTATGGTGATTCATAGCAAAACGAAATCCAGGAGGTGACAACTCTACGGTAAATCCAGTGATGATTTTCCAGTCGCCCTCGTGTAGCTGTTCATCAAATTCTCATAGAGACCATTTTCTTGACTGACCTTGGCAGGTATTTTTCCATCCTATCGATTAAACAATTTCTATTGTTAAAAGTACATAAAACACGACTAATAGCAGTTCCTATCATACCGAATAAATCAAAATGTTAACAAAAAAGAATGAAGAAGATAAATAAACTTACGTGATCATCTACCAAAAGAAAACGCAATATGTCACCACCTCCATCTATCATCTCAGACCATTTCTTCAAAACTCTAACTCTTATCGTCCAACCATTCCTATGAGGAGAAAGTTCGTTGATTTTCGATATAGTTGCCATATTTGAAGATTTGTTGTGATTCTCTGTTCTACAAAAAGACAGAGTGCTGAGTTATTTATAGGATGTCGAATTATGTTACCATTTCATTGTTATTCGGTTAGGAAAAATAAATATACTCTTCATACATTTAATATATCTGACCGTTTGGAAATGAAAATAAGGAAGACAGCTATTTCCAAAGTCCACAAAAGATGAACCTTTCACGTGAAAGTAAACATTTGCAGCTTTTCCTCTGTTCATAGAGGTGACAGAACTTGGAAATTAAATTTTACTCTTTTCGTAAATATGCAGTCTTCAATACATCCTTGTTCATGACTTTTATATCAACTGATTAAGAGTAGCATAAGTCTTCAATACATCCTTTCAGTCCGGTATTCTTCTGTGGATTAAAATTCTTGAACATTTTTATGTGTTTTGGCAGGTAGATACTCAGCTTTTGGGAACGGTTACCTATACTGGTTTATGACTCTCCAGAATATAAAGGTAAACCCTGTTATTGGACCAATATCTTGCTTTACTGACATTTACATTGAATCAGTATCTTCTGTGCCTGAATAAATTATATAAAAACATTTTCTGACTTAGTGGTTTCGAAAACAGTAGATCAACTGAAACCTTTAATCTTAACTTGAAAGTAAACTTAAATAACAATAGCATGGTTCTCATAGTTAAGTTACACATAGATAGCAGGAAAGATAATGATTTAAACATCCATGTCTTCAGATTCTCAATCATCATCGCTATCATCAACCTCAGCTTCTCTGTAAAAAGAAAACAATATAAAAAATTATCGATCATGGCTAGTGAGTCTTATGTAAGATAAGTCATTTAGCAAGAATGGACTTTCAAATTATAAAACTTACAATGTATTCTCGAAATGTTCCACCTCTAAGTGTCCGGTGGGATGGAAATCAAAAGTAGAGATACCAGGAGAGCTTTCAACATTTATACCACCTAGTTGTAGATTAAATCAAAATTGAAGATGTTATATAGTTTACATAAGAAGACAATTGGAAAATCTGCTACAGAATATTACTATAACAACACGAATGAGCTTACCATCATTTCCAACAACACGCCAGTCAGTTAACAGAACAATATTTGTTCCACAGTTGGCGTAACAAAGCCAGAAGAGTTTGAATTTATCTGCTAACTGTCCCTTTACACGAACGTTTAATCTATTGCCACTAAAATCAAATAAAAAAGTGTGTCTCAGATAAATACTACATAGTCCAGTAATTAATTTTAAAGAGATTAGGAATATAGTAGATATAAACTTACACGTTGTCCCGCATCACAAAGTCAATCTTGCTGGTATATTTCTCGTAAAGGTTCAATCTGTTCCTAGGAAGAGAACGATCTTTGATGACACCCAACTCATGAGAAAATAATATTTGGCCTATGAAGTCTGTTACAATTAAAAAACATGAAACTTCCGATTAAGCAGAATATGTAACTTCAAAACAAAATAAGTTTATTCACAGGGATGATTTAGTACAAATTAAAGATATATAGTTGGAAATAACCTCTAAGATAAACAGTTCCAGCATGAACTCCAAAGCGTATAACATCTCCAAATGGAATTAGATCCAACGGAATAAAACCATCAAAGGCGTCAGCATCATCAACTTGTGTCTCAGAAGTGAGGAAAATCTCTTTCCTTTGTTTGGTCAAACGAATCCATGGAGTAAATGTACGAACTTGGAAACCAGATATGGTCTTCCACTCTTCTTCATGAAGTAGTCTCCTAAATCTCCTATGCTGATCTTTTCTTTCCACCAATGCATGCATCTTCGTTCCCTGTTGCAATTGTGAAAATAAATTAAGAAATCCATTCGTATCATGTAAAATTAGTTTCAAAATAAAATTACTTTGAAACTGTAACAGTAACCTCGTCATCGAGAAAGAGGAAACTGAGCCCTTCACCGGTGTCGACATGAATTGTATCCCAGATCTTTAACACTTTAACAGTAATCCTCGAATCGTGACGGTTTGGTCCCACTCGTGCGAGTTTAACGTCGTTCAACATTGGAAAATTTTCGAGATCTATTATTTTAGGAGATTGTCTTCTTCTCATCTTGAATGGAAGCCTCGCATCTGATGGTGTAATGGTGAGTCGAGGAATGATAACTTTGGCTCCAATCTTGTCTCCGGTAATAACCTTAGCTTCTACCATAAAGTCAGCTAGTTGAGTAATTTGCAGCCTTGTTCCATTCATTAGACCTCCTATTGGATCAATATTCCTTAGCAACATCACCGGACACCCAACCTTCAGTCTCAAACTGTGGTTAGGTAAGCCAGCAACTCTGATGCTGTTTAAGAATTCCGTGCTTAGAGCCTCGTCATTCATGGCAGAAGAGTCTGAAGGATCCAAGGTATCACAGCTGAGATAAATTCGTTCCTCTCCTGATAGATATCAATTTAGGTTAGTTACAAATCGTAAAATAGTAGAAACTGAGGAAACTGACTAACCATTCAATTTGTCTAGCATGTGCTGGTTTATCTTGTCGACATCTTCGTTCGTAGGACAAAGAATTGCTCTTCCTTGGAAAAAGTTTGGATCCGTGTTGTCCTGCAGAGCCTCGGAACTTCCATAGATCTTCCTGCTTATAGATTCAATAGGCTCCTCTTCATCCATTATAAGGAATTCCTCAGGAATTTCGATCTCAGCTTCACCATCATTAGGTTCCGCTATTCTTCCATTACCAACATCGAGTATCCACTCTGAAAATTCCTTTAGGTCTCTTGCTTCTTCTTCACTCAGATTACCAGATAAGAGCCTCATGTTCTTTGTCAGTTTTAAAACTTTGCAGTGTTTCCAAAGATAAGATGAGTTAAGCGAGGCTCCTACTATTTGTGCCCTACCACCACCAGGTATTACTGGAAGAACTTGTCTGAAATCACCTCCAAACACAATTACTTTACCTCCGAACGGCTTTCCATCTTTATTACCAATAATGTCTGAAAGACTTCGATCCAAAGACTCGAAACAATGCCTACTCATCATAGGAGCCTCGTCCCATATAATAAGAGACGACTCTTTGACCAAATTTGCTAGATCAGAACCTTTGCTCATAACACATGTAGTAAACTCATCTGGATTCAGAGGTATCCCAAACCTGGAATGAGCCGTGCGGCCTCCTTGTAACAGTAGTGATGCTATACCACTTGAAGCTACATTTAGAACGATCTCTTCCCTGTATCTAATTGCAGAAGACAAAATCCTCCACAAAAATGTTTTTCCAGTTCCACCAAAGCCATATACAAAGAACACTCCTCCTTTTCTCGCCAAAACAGAACCAATTATTTCCTCATACACTTTCTTCTGTTCAGGAGTAAGCTTAGCAAAGTCTCTGTCGTGGTTTGTTTTCTGCTCCTCTTTTTCATAACTCTTTTCATCAAAAATTAGAACATTATCGGTAGCTGAATAAGTAACTCCCCGTGGTTGAGGCATACTTTTAAACCTCGTCCAGTCAGCGCCATTCCTTTTTACTAACTTTACAATCTCCTGGAGAGCATATTCCCTTTTGTCTTCGTCACTTAGCGTAAGTGCTGAAATTCGTTGACAATACTATTTAGTAAATAGATTCCTATTTTTAAAAAAAAAATTAAGGAAATGAAGAGTGAAGATATTGTACCTGGTCTATTAAGATCCCTTCTTCTAATCATCTCCATGTCGTCAGAAAGAAACTCCCAACACGCATACCAAACTACATCTGGCGAAATCAGACTATCTGAAGTAAGCATGATGACAAACAACTGGCGAAGTTGTGATGGAGGACATGTGAAGCTTCTTCTGCAAATATCATCGATATACTCTTGGTCATCCTCTAGCAGGCCCCTAGCGTAACAGGCATCTTTAAATTCAGGGTACAACACACCATTATAGGTCTTTATCTCCTCAAACGATCTTGGACCTCTCACGACGTTTAACAGCATTCTCAAATAGTAAGCATCTTCAATCTTCCTTGGTGCGTAATTGATTCTTCCAATGCTGAATCCTCTCTTTCTACGTTTCCAGCGTTTTTCACTTTTTACGTAGGTAAAATAATTTGGAATCTGAACATAGGTAAGCGTTCTAGCAAATTCACACTCCTTGTTCAGTTCAAACCATGCCAGCATCATTGTCTTCTCAATTAGTTTACGTGTTACGACCCTCTCCATTTTGTCAATACCTTTGAAAATAACCAACTGTTTCCCTTCGAGGTGGAATGTCAGTTTCTCCACTGATACAGATCTATGGTGTATCGGGTATTTGAATGTTCTCCAAACAGCTTCAGAGGGTGAAATGTACCTAAAATAAAAGATAATGATATGACCACAGCTAAGAAAACAGTCATATCGCTTAAATGGAGGCTAAAGACAAATAATAAAGCATACCGGCAATCAAAGTAGTCCTTGATCTCATTCCTATTTTCCTTGGAAGCTTTCTTCTCTGCGCTAACACCCTCATCATTTGATCGACTGTTGGCATCTCCACTAACATCCTTATGTCCGCTCTTTGTTTTTCTCCTGGCTTCCTCAGCTGACTCAACGACAACAGAACACGATCGGCTC